CGCAGCCCAAACCAAAGGGGAGGTGCAGAGGCAGGGGAGGTGCCCCCCAAAGGCCAAGCCGAAGACCAAGCCCAAGCCAGCGGCAACCGCTCCTGATGATGGCGAAGATGGCGGCCAAGAAGAACCAGAAGAGGAGGAGGACCCCGGTGCAGAGATGACGACCAAGTCTGGGATTCGCTGGAGTGATGGCTGCTTCGGTATGGCTGCTTCAGTCCTGCAGCTTTGGGAGAAAAACCTTCAACCTGTCGCCTACACTGGGCGGGAAAAGTGAGCTGATTGGGAGTGATGCGGTTGCCGGATGTAAGAAAGATATTTCCCATTCTCGTTCTTCAACATGACCGTTCTCGTTCCCAAGGGGTGTTGACAGGGTCACACCCCAGAAACTGCTGAGTACTGGCTACACTCGGATAATAAGGACAGTGTCATTCCATCCCAGGTATAAGCCAGTCTTGGCGGCAAGACTTTCACATTGTGTCTGTCTACTTCGAGTATTATAGCTTCTTACTGGGCAGCAATCCCACATGATAGATATTTCATTGTGGGGCCACGGACACTTCACTGCCCTTGAGTTATTTTGTCTTCTCGTTTTTTCAACGTGTTTGCTTGAGCACCGTTCGTGATATACCGGCAACCCACAAACAACAAAAAAATTACAAAAAATTAGACTAAGCACTTCTAAGAAGATCGAAGCCCGCAAAGGTTCGCCAGAGAAAAACGAGCGACAAATCCTCTCCTCCTGGGATATCTCCGCCATATCGACGCCCTGATCATGCCAACGACGCACGCCACCGGAAACCTATGCCAAAAATTAAACACTAGACGACGAATGACCCGAAAGCATTGTACCGCGTGTGACGCACTGTAGCGCTGGCACAGCAGTACACACGCGCGCGCTTTTCCCAAAAGAATCTCCGATGCTTGGGTTCTCGTTTAGTTTAGTCGTTAGTGGGGGGGCAGAGCGAGACGAGGCAAGCGTTTTCGTGGACGGAAGATGGGTGTGGACGGGGCTATGGATGGAGATGGGAGGGTGGACGGGCGTGGACGGGGCTGTGGAAGGAAGATGGATTCTAAGTAGAGCGAAGCGTGGGGGGGCTAACGCTACTCCATGCCTCGTGGAAGAACGTGATTGCGCGAGTGGAACTGTCTGGCGCGGCCTATACGCCGGTCTTGGGTGTCCAGAATGTGTGCAATGTATGCCGGAGACAGCCCAAGTCATTGCAGAAACGGCAGGATGGTTGCATGCCAGAACCGCAATGCTTCAAATTTCATGGTTGGAACGAAGCATGGAGGGAGCTGATGCTGCTCCACGCTTCCTGGAAGGGTTGTTAGAAGCCATGTTGCAATCGTTTTATGACCGTTTTGGAGGGCTTTCAAAATTGACCGAGGGGTGGACGGGGGTGTATATGGCAGACGGGGGTGGACGGACGCGCACCAGAACCGCGATGCTTGAAATATCATGGTTGCCACGAAGCCTGGACAGGGCTGATGCTTCGTTTTGGCCTGCTAATGTGCGTTTGTTTATTTTTCCTGGGTTGCGCGCTTCTTTTTTGTTTTTGGGTCCACGGGCTCACCTTGTTTTTTTTCTGTATCTTTGTGTTTTTCGTTGAGACAAATTTTTGGTCTTCGAACAAGGAAAACAATTTTGTGTGGCCTCCTTAAGTCAGTCTATAGAGTCTTAGCCTTAGTCTTGGACTTATGTACCGATGTACCGCTACGGAACTGCGAACAATTACCATTCCTGTTGATCCAGAGGTCTGAATGAGCTCCTTCCGACTTGGGGGTGCCTTGGACACCAGGCTTGCAGCTGCCTGCAAACATATGCAGCGATGAAGGAGTACATCAATCATATTCAATCAAAATAACACACGCAGGCTCTACATACCCTCTTCTCAAAAAAGGTCAGATTGATCACATTTTCGCATTACAACGCTTTTGAATTAGAGGGTTCCTGAGTACTATATGAAAAGTCCTGAAGAAGCCATTTCAAACAATCACACAAGTGATTATGTCGCCCGAAATTCGCTTACCCAGCCTCGTCAAAGGAAGTTTAGTGTACAAAACTTCCGTGTTACGGACATCCAACCACTCATCAATACACCACTCATCAATACACCGCTCATCAAACCACTCATCATACACCACACACCACTCATCATACACCACTGCTCATACACCACTCATCATACCACTCATCATGCACCAGTCATCATACACCACTCATCAATACACACCACTTATAAGTTAATTTCGTGGCAACTAGCTGTCAAATCAAAACAACTAGCTGTCAATGATATGAGTGCTCAGCTACCATTGGGCCTTGTTCTTCCAATGGAGTCTGTGGCTTCATGGATGTCTGGTACAATTTTGCTGCGCCAGAGGGCACTTTTTCTTAAATCCTTTTACTCTGGCATGGTGGAATCACTCGAAGTAGTAGCTCATAATTTTGCAAGTCACGTGACATCAAAAAACCAACATGTTTAGCCCAAGGTTTGTGTATGTTGGCACATCAAGAAAGAGGGGGCTGTTGTTCGGCTGAAGGTTCCAAACACAGAAAGTGGGGACAGGAGTTTCAAAACCGTTATTTGCAATATGTACATATGATTATATATTACATTGCGACGTGTTGCGACCGACCCGTTGTCCACGTGTTGTGACCGACCCGTTGTTTCGCGCTAGCAAAAGACCAACAAAACACATGTGTTTTACACAGGAATACAAACAGGCCGATCCCGAAGGCAGCTTGACGCGTGATTTTTTCTGCAAACTACCCCATGTTTATGTCTTCGTGTGTAAGCACACGATTCTCCACGATTCTTCATAGAATCATCTGTACCCAAAAGAGCACTTCTACAGCTCAATGCCCTTCTCACCGGCAGCAAAAGAAGCACGTTCTGCGGAAGCCATCCAGGCACTGTGAGCATCTTTCAAGGATCCACCCGAAGCAGTAAATTTGCGCACCTCTAGAATCTAGGTGCTTGGATGACTTTGGGCACCCGTGGTCAATTGCAAGAACCACAAATACAAAAACATAAACTACAAAAATTCACTGAAACATTGATTGAATTGAACCTAGATTCAAAGTCCCACCGAGCTTTGTGAACCGGGCTGAGCTTCTTCTCAGGTCCGGAAGAAGAAGAAGCTGCGTTCTGATTCGGCTTGGCGGCTGTCTCCTTTTCTTGCTTTGACTCAGCTGAACCTCTCGCAACCTAAGTTAACACAATCACGGGTTTTTGTGCGACCAAGTGAGAAACCACGAGACATTGGCAGGCCAAGCAAGAACCCAACAGACATTGGACTCCAAACCTTTACAAAAACAAACAAGGTAATAAATATCTCAGAAACTCCTTTGGACACAAATTGATGATGCCACACACGTGAGTGTTCCCGCTTGCGTTCACGGCGCGTCTCCTCGATGGCTTTCTTGGTGTTTGGGCTTGTCTCCACAGTGATGCGTTGGAGATGTTGCCGTTTCTTCTTTGGCTCCTGATGTAAGCAGGTCCCCACAGGCATTCAATGCAGGAAAGCAAACAAACTGTCAATGAATGCAAGTGAATGTGCATTCTCCTCCGAGACATTTGCATCATCTGCATGCTTGTCATCAACGGCAGCTTCCTTTTCCAAATGCACTGGTAACCCAACATGAGGCTGGCGTGCACGTTTCTGCTGAAGGTTTGGAGGCGCATCAGCTTTTGCGTTGCCAGATTCCAAAAAATTGTCAGGTTCTGCAATTGGAGTCGCTGGCACCACATCCATCACTGCATCCTGCATCGGGCTGAAAATGAACAAGATAGTATTGAACCCTTTTTGCCAACAACAAAGCATCATTGCAAGTCCTGCTTGGGCACAGGTTCATCATTGTTTGCATCTTTGCAGTCAAAAGGTTGCCGACTGTCATCACAGTAGCCATCCAACAAGCGAGTCGTGCTTGTGTCAACCTGCATTTCATTGAGGAACTACAAACAAGAGCATTTTGTCAATTGACTCTTTGAAAGCATAAAAGAAACACACTGAAGAACAATGCCATGGCCTTTGTCCATCGGTTTTTGTTCTTTGATAAAAATGAGTGACGATTGAACAGTCTCCTTTTGGCACTACTGTAACCATGTATACACAGTCCATGTTTCAGCTCCTTGTCGACATCAGCATCCAGCATTGCCTGAGCAATCGTCTGGACCTCTTCTGAAGATGGAGCCTTTGCATTTTCCACTGGGATCTCTGCATCCCAGTCTTCAAAAGAGTCCGCATTGGATCGGAAGAACTTGTAGGGCTGCCGTGCTGGAGGTTCTGACTCGGTGGGTTCTGCAGGAAAAAGGCACCTTTTGGTATGGTCACCTTGTCCAAGAGGTCGCGCAACACGTTGAACTGGCACAGCCTGCAGTGCAGAGGAAATGACCTGCTTCGGAAAATGCAGGATACAGTACGCAAGCCCTCTATCCACAAAAACCAATCCTATTAAATCAGGCAGGAAACCGGAACAGGTTCCGCCTTCAGCATGTACTTCTGTAGGTGTGCACTAGGTTTGAACGCAATGGTGTCCTGCAATTCTGCTGATGGGATAGCGGCAAAGTTCCGGATCAAAGGAGCCTCAGCCTGACGACTTGGTGGGACCTCAGGGTGAGATTCCACAGGTCCTTGTCCTGAGAGCATCCTCATATGTTTTCCAAACAGCATGTCGTCCATTGCTGAGTGACCTGTTTGTTCCAGGTCAATCAGATCAGTAGTCAATGGCATGGTCAGCACGACAAGGAGGCAAGCGCAAGAAAATATGAAAAGACCCTTTGAACCAAAAAGGTGATAAATGAGAGTTGGTAGCCATCATATTACAGCGAGTCAAATAACTTGACCAAATGAGAGTTGGTGGTATTGTTCAACTGCTTGCTACAGTACTGGAACTGTTTTTTGCAGCCATCATTGCACCCTAGCTCCTCTTCTTCATGGAGGCAACGCAAGCATTTGCCTGTGTCAAATGAAAATTCGCTTCGGCGGCTCACAGCTCAAGCTCAAATGATCTGGTAGACCATATTTGGCTCCATGGTCCATCCATTGCCAGCAACAAACCACAAGGGCTTTGCTGGGCCCAATGTCTTCTCACGGGAATAATGACGCATTCCTCAGATGAAGCTTGAGCAAGGCATGAACACAACAGGACCACAAGCAAACATACGAAACATAAGCAAGACCAAGCAGCTCCAAACCATGGTAATGTATTTCGACTTGCGCAGCGTCTTCATGCCAATGTACCCGGCAATGTTCGAAGCCTTGACCGACTTTTCTTGGACCGGGTTTGGCCGGTATACACTGAACGCCTGGTGCTCGACTGTGAAGCCGTCTGATTGCTCTCCCGTTGGACTGCGCTTGGCCTCTGGACCTTGTGGCCAGTCACTGCAAAATCCAAAATGCCGCGCTTCTCGAGGGTCAACATCAAGTTGAACAAGGTTGTTGGCGCCGAATCCTGCGCAGGTTGGCCTTGAGCTTGTTCCTCGAGGACTACCTGAAAAAGTAAAAGACCAGGACTTGAACCTTGAACAAGAAAACCCATCAACTCAAGTGCAAATCTTGAATTCAATCGCCTTGTCTTCATTGGTCGGCTTGCTCAAGTAATCCTTCGCCTGCAGGGATTGGGTGGTGACTCAAAAAACTGTGTAGCTGTTGTCTAAATGGTATCAGCTGTTGTCAAAAAACTGTGTAGCTGTTGACTCAAAAAACACAAGTGCTGCCTTGGCATTGTCTGAGATCCATGTTCCTCCAGCATAGCACAGCAGCGGTTTCGGGTTGTTGGCATTCACGCCAACCAGTCGGAATTTCGCTGCTGTGGTCAAGAACAGCTGGCCACCCTCGACACAATGAAGAACAACATTCTGTCCCATATTTAAGGTGACACTGATCTTGATCTCTGGGAATTTCTGCTTGAACTCTTCGGCAGTCATTTTTGGTGGCACATCCTCCACTTCAGTCGCTGTCGCATTCTCCACTGCAGGTTTCCCCAAATCCACCTCTTCTGATCCACGTGGTGGATTTGGCGGGGGGAGCAGCTCCAGCAGTGGTCGGCTCAAAGACGGCGTCAAAGTTCTTCAATCTGGTCCGCCAATCCGGGTCTAAGCAGTCTCAAAGACATGAGTTGACCGGCAACACAGATTATATACAAACATCAATAAGAAACAAACATCAAGGCCAAGATGCTGTGAATCGGATCTGCCAGCCACTTCTTGCGAACAGCTTCTGGGATTTGCAAGTGCCCGTCAGCTGACATTGCGCGCAACTTCAAGGTTGGCCTTGTTGGTGTTGTGATCTCTGTGACATCTGGCTCAGCACCAAATTTGGGCGTCGTGTTAGCCATGTGACCACGGGCATTCTTCCAGTCCTGCAACAAATCAAATGCAAATCATTTCACAAATTGGGACAATGCGAAATTGTGACAATGAGGGATTGACAATAAGGTCCTCGAGCAGTCTGTCTTTGAGCTGCGTGGAAGCGTAAGCAAGTGGGCAGGATTTTGCGTTTCACTGTACGCAGCCAAGTAGGCGCTCTCCTGAAGCTCCAGCATCACATCAAGTGCCACCTGCAAGGTACTGTGTGGCACACGCTTCCACAACATGTCAAAAATTCACATTGTTACCACAAATGGTTTCACTATCCACACCCAGCCTTGTCAAAGGTACCTTCATAAAGGGTGCAATGGTGAATAACGCCAGCTTGGCCTTTCAATGAGGACATCTTGGTCAGGCATCCCTCGAGGATTGCTTTGCATGTCGAAAGTGAAGCCAACCATTGTGATGTCTCCTCCTTGTCCTTGCACAAGCTGAAAAACACACGCCAACATGTAAAAAGACAACTATATACAAGAATCCGATGAAAACAATAAATGTCAGAATTTAATTTGCGATGGAGCTTGCAGCTGTGCGTCGGTCAATGACCTTCCCTGCTCGTGGCTGAAGAAAGTCCCGCTTTCAGGGGTAACGTACTCGCCTTGAGGGTTTGAAGAAACACGACAATCTCACAGTTTATCTTTAGTGATCTAATCTATTCATTCAGGCTAGTTGCTGGTTGGAAGTGGAGTGGATGGCTTCGTAGTCACTGAATTCCAGAGATCACACTTTGCAAACACATTGCTGTCTTTCACATCCATGTCTGATCCCCGGGGCGCTCTGAAGAGTGTTCCTTGTTTGGAACCCGATGTTGTCTCCAGGACGCACAGCCATGCAGGCAAAGTGGCAGGCAGGACCCTTCAGGGTTGATATTTCCCAAACAACATCAAACCACACTTTTGAGGAAGTAATGTGCTCACAATAGCATCAACCAATCAGTCCTGTTTCCATGCTGGGCCTTCAAGTCCAGGGTGATTTGCACGTTCTTCATTTCAATTCCCATGGAAATCATTTTATCTTCCACTCGGCGATGTTCACCACGGAGCCCGCCCAAAACGCCAGTTCCCGGAAGGATTGGGCAGATGACCAGCACCATGCCTTCAGCGACTCTGAAACAGGTTGAAACATACATTGCAGCCCATTGTCAATGACAAGCCACTGTAATCGTCATTGATTTGCAGTACTCGCTTGGTCCATTTCGCGACCTCGTCAATCTCCACTGCAGACAATCGCCCAAACTTGGTCACGTCGACAAAACCCAAGTTGTGCAACTTACTGATGTCTGCTCCTTCGAATTTCTGCGCAGCATCCGACATCACACGGCGCTGGAAGGCTCCTAGAGCCTGCTGTTTGTCGTTGTTTGCAACCATCAGGCACCGCCGTTCCATGAAGCGTTCACAAACACGAAGGCCAATATCTATTTGGTCACGCAAGTGAATGACCTTTGCTCTCCAAGCAGCAACCCTTTTGGACTATTTCAGGCGTTTTTTCATAGATTTCAGCCAAAGTGCTTTTGCGACATGTTTTGCCCCATCAGCCTACAAGCTGAATGGCAAGGTAGCATGAGTGGGAGGTGACACAGGTAGCATCTAGCTGAAACTTGCCTTGGTGCGCTTCAGGTTGAAGTTCACAGCTTCTTTGTAGTCGGACGCCAAACTGGTAATGCACACATCATATTCAGCATTTCGGAGCCGTTCCTGTCAGGGATTGGATTGATCATCAATTTCACCAACCTCGAAAACTTCAACAACTTTCCAGTCTCATAGCCTCTGCGTCCTCAACTTCTGTGCTCATATCTTTACTGGCAGCAGTGGCGGACTTCTTGAGGATTTGTTTGCCGACACAATCCTGCCACATAGATGTCATTTCCGGTGTCAACTTCGGTTTTCCAAGGAGAAGGGCGTCCAAATCTTGGTTGTAGTCCCTTGGATCCAGGAAGTTGCTTTGCAGCCAGGGTATCTTTGAACAAATGAGCAACTAGGAAAATTTGCCAAGGCTCCCGTTCATAAAAGCAGCAGTCATGTTCATCAGCATCTCATCTGTGACCTTGGCAATTGTCCAAATCACACAAATTTATATGTTAAGATCTAAACGGTCACACGGCAGCAACAATAAACTGCAATAAATCAACTGCGGGCAAAATGCATCTGGATTGGGTTTGCAAGCATCGAGCGCCCATGTCACAACGCAACACCTGTCAATATGACGATTCCAGACCTCTTCGCTCCATCTGAGTCTGTTCCTCATCGTGCGCTTCACCTTTCTTGCATTGAGCCCCCACCAATAATTGTAAACAGTAAAGGCCATAATCTGGGAGTCCTCTGAAACCTCAGCCGGTCATAACAAACAAGGTTTTAGGAAGGACAAGAACTGCAAATCCCCTGAGCAGCAAAATGTGTAAGGTATTTCAATTGCAGGTAGGTAGCCGTCAAAATCCGCTGCCAATCTGCTGAAACGTTCTTTGGTGACTCATTCAACCGATGTCGTCTTGAACGAAGCAATGACTCATTGTAGCCTCAAGTGCTTCCAGTCATTCTCCAACAACAAGTGCTGTCAAACCAACACATGACACCACCAGGCCAAGTAGCCGGACTCCTCCCACTTTTCAAAGTCCAAGTGCACACGGATCAGGTCACGTGCATCTTGACACATCCCTGTCACTATATTCGAGATCGCTTGCAACTGGTCTCCGGACAGCTGCCACCGCTTTATAGCGGTATTTGCTCTGTAGGAGTTGTAACGATCCACAATTTGCTTCAGAAGCTCTCCATCATTGAGCCCATCATTTTCTGGAAGACAGCGCTGCTCTTTAAGCAAGATTTCAAACCTGAGGCTGAGTTTCATGATCTCAGCGGTTGAACAAAGCCAACAAGTTTCTGGTCTGTGTGAGTGTGTTTGTGCGTGTGTGTCACTCACCAAATGTCTGAAGCAATTGAGACTCCCACGTCTTTTCGTTGTCGCTCGGCACCCTGTGTTGACAATTGAATGCTTTCAAATGAGAGCTGCTCATGATCAGTGGCTGCACTGATGCAGACTGGAAGGTTGAAGATCCCTTCAAAGGAGTGTAACAAAGGCAGCGCCAGGTCCTGTGCAGCAACATGCTGGCAGAGTAGACACTTGCACGGCAACACAAAGCTCCTTAGCGCTGATAGGATCCAGATCACTTGCAATCAACAGCAGCAACAGGCAAGATGTCCTTGGAAGGAAAGAACACAATTCCTTTCAAGACTGAGTGCTGAATCAAAGATGAGATGATTAAAGTGTTTGAGTCGAGTTGCAATCGAGTGAACCCCTTCTTCACCCCAAGCTTTGGTGGTTCACTGTCATGAGATGGAATCACATACAAGTCGATCGGCTCTCGGTAGAGCCGTGATCCATTGAATATGAAGGAAAGGCAGGTCGTCTGGAAATCTGCAATGCATGGGAGCCCATCATCAGGCTTCGCGATCACAATTGCTTCCAGTGGAACTTGAGTAGATACGGATTCTCCTCCCAATTTGGAAAGATCCTGTAGGAAATTAGCACGTCTCAACAGAGAGAACACATTGGCCACAACAGGAAAGGACACCTTTGACTTACAACAAAAGGCGTGGACATGAGAGATCTCTGTCAAGCTACTGGCATGGGAGCGTGCACCAACTTCTTGCCGTGAATGGTCATCGCCTCCGTCAGAAAGTTGAACATTTTCTCCACGCTCAGCTTGCTGCGCTCGGGATCCTTGAAGGCATCCATGACCATGTCGCAGGGGTGCACCCTAGAAGTTGTCGTTGTATTGTCTGTGTTTTCATTAAACATGGCCAGGTAGTCAAGTATGTCTTCACAGAAAATTCAGGTGAACGCTGGCTTTCTTGGACTTAGTTCCACATTGCTGCAATGCAAACTTCTCAAAACAAACAGAACTGGTCCTTGGCCAGAGATGTATCACCTGGAAGCTTGTTCAGGCCAGCCTGCCACTCGGATTTGCGCCTTTTCGATGAAGATGGTTCAGCCTCCTTTTTCACCTCACATGAGGAGACAAAACCAGTAGACACAAATCAGTAGACAAAACTCTTTGTTAAAAATCAGTAGACAAAACCACCGCAGATGCCACGTAAGCAAACATAAGGAGAAGTGCTGTCGTCTCTTCCTTCTTGATTGCCGTCCCCTCGGGTTTTGTCCTTACTGGCGTTTCTTGCCCAGGCTTTGCCATAAGTGCAGCTGTCACTGCCGCAACTCCTGATCTGAGCAACGGTGATTCCATCAGCCCAAGCTAGGAGGCCGAGAAAAAAGCACTTCACACCAAAATTTCAAAAAATGGCACGCAAGTGAAATTCCTCAACTCGTTACCTTTGCGTTTGTAATGGTGCCAACTAGAATTTGGTGCTGTGATTGAGCCAAATTTGGATTCAACTGTAATGTTCAGGTCCATTGACTCAACTCAACAAAATTCAAACCGGAGACTCAACTTGAACCGGGATCATCTTAAATTGTCGTCATTCAGCCCGGGGATCATCGTAAATCGTCGTCATTCAGCCCCGGGATCATCGTAAGTCGGCGTTGTTCTGCCCCCAAACGACAACGAAATAAGATGATCCCGTATTTCCTGACTACATCAACTTGATCAGACCCACACCGATTTTGAAAACTACTTACGCCAAAGAAATCGGTGTCGTTTGGGTGCCCAACGACAATGACTTTATATAGATTTTGATAGGGTACAAGGAAATCTCACTTTTCTGCAAAGTGAGATTTCCTTTCTTTACTAAAATCGGCGTCGTTGGGCACCCAAACGACACCGATTTTGTTGGCGTAAAGCGGTTATCAAAATCGGCGTGGGTCTGATTGTTTTGACGTGTCGACGTGTCTTGAATCAATTGCTGGCTGCGCAAACCTCTTGAAACTGTACTGCTCACTATTCTTTTCCATCGGGTGGTGATTGAGCCTTTTGGCTCCACTCGCGCTGGCAGTCGGCAAGCCACCTTAGAGAGCTCATTTGGACCAAGTCAAAAACAAGGTGTGGATAGGTGTGTGGCTTTGCACTATACACTCAGAAAAAGAATAAACTTGAAGCAAACTCCAGATCTCAGTGCTTTTGTTTTTCCAAACTGCTACTTTGCACCATGTCAGTATCTGCTTTGCAGATGGTGCTTGTTTTTCCTTCAGCATGCTTTGCATGTGATTCTCTCTCTCTCTCTCGTCACTGATACCCTCTTCGCCACGCAACACGTAGTGGCACAGAGGGGCATAGCACTGCCAAAACGCATTCATGTGGCTCCTTCCCGCTCCCCAGCTACTCCGCGTACTACTCTCGCACTACCACGTCGCCAGTTCTCCGCTTCCAGCTCCCCAGCTACTCTGCGTACTAGAGTTGCGTACCAAATCGCACTCTCCTCTGCATTTCGCGCCCTCGACACGCACGATCTCCGCA